GCACTCGTAGCCGATAGTATATAAAAGGAAATCAAAACCTCACCATTTGCTTCACGAAAAGAAGGACACGAACATCACCCATCACGAATGTGAAGCAAGTCCAATATTCCGGGTGACGAACTGTCCTTTTTCTTTTCTTCAGAGATGAATTTCAAAGACAGACACAGTTTTGCACTTCTTCAAACTAAGTTCACTGACTTAACAGGTTGCGCGGTCACGTATTTGTCAACGTCAATTGATTCTTCATCATCAGTCCTACTGTCACACTTGCGTTCCTTGGATTCTTCTTTGGATTTCGCCTGGTGCCACCGAGAGGATCACAAAATCATCTCGCAAACCACGGCTGACTTAAATAGTTCATTTGCTTTCCGTCCATGATTTTCCCAGCACAGTATCTTGAAAACTTATTCTAGGGTTGCTGGGAATAACTTTGGTGATACTGTGCTTGTCGGTTACCTCTACTTTTCGATTTTGAACTAGCTTGAGTGCTTTCATGACTTTCATCCTTGAAACTCATGGCGATTTGTTTTATGTACCTTTTTTCGATTTCTTAACTCGTCAGGGAATCACGAACAGATTGGACGTTCACTGAGTCAAAATCGACTCACCTAAGGCAGAGAGGAAACTATTGTTTGTTGTCTGCCTGAAGCACTTGTCGCAGCACCTAGTGATGATTCATCGCACGAAATTCACTCGTAAATTCTGCTCGCTCCTTTGGCCTTGCAGCATCCAGTTGTTCTTGAAGCTTGCTGGTCAGCACCTTCATGAAGATGGTTCAGATGATTGGTAGCACTCTGAATCGGTCTGTAATTCTTCAAATCCCCCTTGTCTTCTTTTTGTGGAATAGAATCATTGAATGGGAGGTTCAGTGGTCTGGAATTTTTATTTCCTTCACAGAGCGTGAAAATAACCTCGCCGATATCTTGCAGTTCTTCACCCTCTGATTCGATGATTTCTACTGTAATGCCTTTCTGATTGATTAATTGAATTTCGCATTTCTTCTGGAATAATATCTTGACCTTGGTCAACTTCGTTTGTGTTTAAGTCTTCCATAATCACCAAGGGTGTTGCTATCTTTATCTTTGTACAGTTTCTATTGAAAGTTTCTGCTCTCTTAAGAATCTTTTGTCTATCCCTAATGACAGTTCCGCCTTCTGTTTTCAGGACAAGATTTTTCGTTTGCCAACCGACATTTTCTAATGCTTCGAACTTTCTCCAATGGTTTCTTGTACCAATGTGCAACTGAATGTTCAAACGTCTTGTATTTCCTTAAGTTTGCAAGTTTTACATATTCGATAATTAATTTATGATCTGTTGTCGTTTTCATTTTGCGTGTAATAGAGTAAAACCTGTCTTGAGTATAGAAATTCTTTGCTCGCACTATAGACAGCAGGCAACGACGGAAGCACTGAACGTTATTCCGATGAGAAGTGCGACGGTAGGCAGCATTCCCCATCGGTACGGCAGCAGAAAGACCTTAAATGAATCAGAAAACGGCATAATCAGTTCCAAAGAAGGCTTGAGGTATGAAGCTCGTGATGCAAACTATAATGAGATATTTATGGCCCTATTGTTAGTACGGGTCGAAGGATATGAATTACTGTCGACATTTATCCATGTACAAGTCATCTTCTGTTCAGAGAGTAGACAGGGTAATGTTAAGATTTTCCACGGTGCCATTTGAGATTAAAATAAAAATTGTGCTAGATCCGTCAACTCAGATATCGTTGCCTCGTTAGCTGATCGCTTCTCGGTTCATCACTGCTCTTCATAGTGAGCGAAAACACTAAATATCCTACTTACTATGGGTGCAATCTAGACTCTGCTACAAGGGTTTTGAGGCTGGGTTAAAGAGATTATAAGTATATTATAACGATTATAAAGCTATTTTTGGTTGAACCTCCTATAAAAATGACTTTCTGTATTAAAGCAGTTCGCTCGTTTGGAAAACTCACCTCAAATTGTTATACATGTCGTGCTTGTCACAGATACTTCAGGATTTTCCTGTCGCTCACAGCGACGATTGCAGTGTGAACCATGACAGTGTCGCCATTCGTTTGCCACCGCTGGCGGACGTCGAGTTTCAGCAAAGACTCAGTGCTCAGGCCGAGTTGATTTCTGGACTACAGCGGAGCGTTCTGGAATTCAAGCAACGAATAGAGAATTTGGACTCGAACTCACAAGCTTTTCTGGCTGCCAGATCTACTGGAGATGCAGGAGCGCTTCTGAACGGAATATGTAGTAAGTTAATTTATGATAATTAAAATGATCTCTGTCGCTAATGGCTGTATAGAAGATGAAGCCTCCATGGATGATCACACGGAATACGAACGCGCAGAGTAGAAACGGATCCGCAGATAGTTATGGCATTTGTTCACGATGTTCATTTCAGGTGCGAACGGCTGAGAGAAGCCAATGGCATTCTGACCATCAACATAAACTCTTTGAGATGCATGAA